TGCACCCTCAGATTCCAGATTTTCAAATAGTTGTATCTCGGCCAAATATTGTCCTATCCTAACAAACCATACATTAATGGAAAGCTTATTTATTCAGCTTTCAGATGATGTATACATATCAATTTCGAAAAATCGGCCCTTATGCCTGGTTTTGTGGTCCAGGGTCACATATATACTTTTTCCAGCAATTAAATTGATCAAAAGTGACAATAAGGATATTACATCGTTAATATTCTTTTGAACTTGGAAAAAAAAAATCACAGTTTCCACAAAAATATTAAGCAGGATAGCCGTTTCCAACATTGATAATAACAAGAAATGTTTCTTGAGCACCAAATCAGCATATTAGAATGATTTCTGAAGGATCATGTGACACTGAAGGCTGAAGTAATGGCTACTAAATTATTTTAAACTGTAATCAAATTTCACAATATTATCATTTTTACTGTATTTTGATCAAATAAATGCAGCCTTGGTCAGTATCTCATTAACACTTAAAACATTTAAAATTATACCAACCCCAAACTTTTGAACGGTGGTGTATGTAGCTGCAAACAGCAATTTTTTTTGCAAAAAGCACACCAGCTAGGAATGTACCTGTAGTAGATTTGTAAAATATATATCATATATTGTGCAAAATGAAAAATAAAACCATGGGTTGTGAATTTATGAAGCGTGTGTTAACAGTATTCAGTGCTCATAATGGAGTTTGTCAGCATCACCTGTTACAGGCCAGTTGTTTGTACTAAAAGCATTTCCACATTATTGAGTTTGAATATACTGCTGCGTCTTTTCACAGCCATATGGCTTTGTGAATGATTTTATGGATGTAATAAATCGTTTAGCATAAAGAGAAATTCAGTGCTCTTTTAATAGAAACTTAAAAAACCCATTTAAACAGGAACTATACACTATATAAAAACAGAAGCAGATGATTCAAATGAAGCGTTGCCATGGAAACCCAGATGTCACTGGTCTCACACAAATAACATGCTCACTGTATCTTTAAGAGGATCCCCTTATGGACAATATGTTTTCTTGATCATCTTTCCATTTATGTGCGGTTTTTACGGTATACACTGCATTTCTTTTGTTTCCTACCGATTTTCCAAGCCCTCAGGCTGTCTTGTCTGTATCTGTATTTCAGTGCTGTACCATCTAGTCCTCTTAATCTCCCGGCTCAGACTCCATTATCAGACACTAATTATGCTGTAGCTAATGGAGGGCCACGTGCTAATTGTGAGACTGAGGTGGGATTTATTAGGTGGAAACAACTGCTCAGCAGAAACCTTTAAAAGGGGAAGCAACAGCACAAAGCAAAGTGCTGTATGAATAGCAATATGTGGCCTTGGGCAAGATAACAATGTAAATGGACACTTCATACAAACTGGAGAAGATTCATTTAAATGAAAATGGCAGTGAAAACATATCTGTTACATGCTGCAACCGCAGTCAGTGTTTTATTTTGATGCTGTTTTAAAGAAATAGTTCACTTAAGGAAAAACCTGTCATCATTTGCTCACTCTCAATCATTGTGGACAATACCATGCTGTCAGTGTTGGGGAGTAACTAGTTACATGTAACGGCGTTACGTAATTTAATTACAAAATAAATGTAACTGTAATCAGTTACAGTTACTAAGAAAAAATGTGTAATTAAATTACAGTTACTTATGAAAATGTTAACGATTACAAAAGGGATTACATTTTCATATTTACACACATCCACATACAGATTTAATTGATTTATTTCCCAAAACCTTCCCAACACTGCATGCTGTTTACTAAACTGCACATTACAGGGTCTGTTATGATTTTGTGATTCATTTAATACAGTCTTTCTTTGTTTTCCCTCATTGTTGCCGGTCTTTCTTTCTTCATTTGTCTTTTTTGCTCATCTTTCTATTTCAGCTGGCAGTGGAAATGACCACTTCCTCCTTGGTAGCAATATAACCGTTGCGGTTCTGGGTATAGTCATTCCAATAGGTGAGTATTAAAGTTAACTAAGCATTTTATCCTGCATTTTGAATTCAGACTTGTTCACCCAGTAGATGAACAGCTTTTGCCCTTGAGCTTTATGTGCACTACCTGCTTTGGAGACACGTACAGTGGTCCTAACTAGCCATTTATAAACTTGCTGCCATTTAGCTTAATATTCCAGGTTAAATACAACTTAAGTGCTATTGACAGCATGCTAATTATTCCAGAAATAATTTCAACTCAATTCTGAGTTTGCTATCTGATGTTACTGTCCCTCTGTGCAACAAATCCATTTCTTCACTTTGTCCACTTTATACATTCATATTTAATTACATTTATAAAATTACATTTTTATTATATTTATATAAATTTTCACTGATGAGGTTAAAAAATGCTTCAAACTGGTCTAAATATGGTTATACTTTGGTGACAGTGTGACATTTCCATATTTTAATTTTTTAATTTTTTTGTATGAAGAGCATTAGATTATCCATAGATCATCCACAGATGCTGTCGATTCAGCTTGAATTGTATTTAATCCAGAATATTCTTTCTAAATTAAAGTGTCTATTTCAAAAAGTTATATGACAGCGGCCTACAACGTGTTTTTAAATATGTTGTGCTCATTATGAAATAAGTGCTTTATAAATGGTTATTTTTGATCCTACAAAAAGAAGTGTCACTCATGCATTTTGATTTTGTGATCATTCTCTCAGTTTCTATACATCATCCTTTTGACTGTTTGAGCAAACTAAATAACAGTACATATTTATATATATAAAGTACAGTAATGTATACATCTCATAGTTTCTGCAGAAAGTCTCTGTCAAAAGGACCTGATGGGCTTCATTGATTGTCTGAGCTGTGTCTGGCGAGTGGCTTAGTGGGATTGAAATGACCTTGTCTGTGCCCATATTCAAATGAAAGACACTAAGTGAAATACTTTTTCTCTAAAAAAACGTTTTAATAGCTCTTTGCAATTGCAGTCCCTCTATGGGCATCCCTTAAAATTGTAACATTTTTCTAAATGCTTTCTTTTATTGTAGTTTGGTTAAAAAATCGAATGTAATTCATACACAAAATGCATTCCTAGTGTTTATAGCGAGACAATAGAACCTGAGTGATGGAGGAAAACGCATCATGAGGAGGTCTCTGCGGCCCCCCCAGACAAAAGAGCAATTAGGGAGAACTTCCAGGAGACCAGAGAAGCCACGGCTGATCTTTTAAAATAGGGAATGGGTTAGCCAGCCACTGCAGGAAAGCCACACATGGTTATCAATTCACCCTGAATAGCAATGTGATCCCCCACCCATTCACATGTAGGCGTGTGGGAGCATACACACAGTCCAATTCGATTCCCCTTAGATCCCTGCTTTCTCACAGAGCAGCATGTGAGCACCCCCTTCACATATTCCACTAAGCCACTGCGTGCGTGTGTGTGCGTGTGTGAGAGTGGGAAAGGTGCGTCTTTGGCAGCCCTAGTTTTAAAATATACATATGTGCTATTTTGGGGGTATTAGACCTGCTTTTTAAGTAGTCTTTTTGGTAGTGATATGATCTGACTCTTCTTAAATTATGTACACTACCATTCAAAAGACTGGGGACGGTAAGATTTTTCAATGTTTTTTAGAAGACGTCTCTTATGTTCACCAATGCTGCATTTGTTTGATCAAATATACTGTAAACCAGTAATATTGTGAAATATTATTACTATTTAAAAATAATGGTTTTCTATTTTAATATATTTTAAAATGTATTTTATTCCTTTGTTGGCAAGGCTGAATTTTCAGCAGCCATTCGTTAAATCCGTGCTGATTTGCTGCTCAAGTAAAATTCTTATTATTATCAGTTTTGAAATCAGTTTTGAAATCAGTGCTGCTTAATATTTTTGTGGAAACCATGATAATTCTTTTTAGGATACTTTGATGCATATAAAGTTTGAAAGAATTTTATTTGAAAAAGAAGGCTTTTGTAATATTATAAATGTCTTTACCATAACCTTTGATCAGTTTAATGCATCTTGACTGAATAAAAAAAAAAACTTACTGACCACAACCCTTTAAAAAGATTTTACTGACCCCAAACATGCTATGCACTGTATATTGCGAACTATTTTTTTTAATTGTATGTGAGAAACAGTATGCATACTTTGTAACCTTACTACGTTTTTAAGTAATCATTGAAAAGAAAAGTCAAAGTCAAATTTAAGTCAAATTTAAATTTATAAAAATGTAATTTACAACCTCTTTTCCCATGCTGATGTAGACAGGTTTGTTTGTTTGTTTTTTCCTTTTTATAAATGACACTTGTATAGCCTATACTATTTTGTAGATTTTATTTAATGTTTATTGGTATAAAATCACACAAATAAGGGTTTTAAATTCTATTTAAATATGTCCTGGATTTTGGTAAGAGTTGCAGCAAGAAAAACACATTATGCATGCTGCTGATATATTACAAGTAGGATAGAAACCTGCTATTCTAAACATAGTGTAGTTTTTACACCAGTGTTATCATCTGAGGATTCTGTGGAATACAATGAGATTTGCTTTGATACATAATGTCATTCACCAAATTTATTGTTTTATAAACCATTTTAATAAAACCATTTGACCCTGGTCTGCCATGATGCACCTTAAAGTTTGAGTGTGTGAGCTTGAATATATATGTGTGTGTGTGTGTGTGTGTATGTGTCATTATGCGCCACTCTGTGTCCCCTGGCTGTGTTAACGCCCCCGCCGTATGTGTTGACTGTGTGTTAAACGCATGCAGTTCCTATCCTTGCCACAGTGATCATCGGCCTGATGTGTACCGGAGGCTACCTGGTGTGGCGCAACTGGAGGAGACGGAACACCAAGAGCATGAACTTCGACAACCCCGTTTACCGCAAGACCACAGAGGATGACGACGACGAAATCCACATCGGCCGCAGCGAGCAGATCGGCCACGTCTACCCTGCAGTGAGTGGCAGTGCCAGACAGCCATACCTAGCACTGCCACTGGGTGGTGGTATCCCAGACCCGGCAGCTCACTGGTACTCAGGGGCACCTATGCTGTCCAGCACAAAGTGAACAAAGAGAGGAAGACAATCGGATAGTGATCAAATGTGGGCGGGGCTAAGACAGCGTTCCCTAAGAGAGGGCATTATGCTGCCTCTTTCGTCACACATATTTATACTCATAATTCACCACACATTTTCATTCAAATGTATGTTTAATTAGTGTACGGATTACCATGTGAGGTTTCATTAGTCTGTATGTGTTTCCCATTGGCTGATTCCGAAATCGCGTACTCTCTGAGTAGGTACTTCTTTTGAATAAGTAATTACTTTGCGACCGTTAAAAAAAATGGGTTCTAGTATATAGTATGAATGTGTGTAATATGAATTTAATCCAGATGTACTACATTCGCCATGTTGTCAGTATCATGTGACCTATCACCCATTCACTGCCATTTACAAATCCTCTCCCCTGGCCTCATGGGATAGTAAAGAGTCAAGTTGATGTGGAAATAGTATGTCATCCAGGAACTTTTCACCTATTGTTTTAAGACTACTATGAAGTCGTACATACTACTCTTTTCCTATACATTTTTTGACTACTACTAGGGAAGTATGCGATTTTGGATGCATGGTCTTTGGTTTCTCGTGTTGTGTGTGTGTAAAGCTTTAAATGCTTTCCACGTTTGAAAGCTTTGAAATTGTGCTCTCCCTTTACCCAATAGTTGTTGTTTTTTTAATTAATTCAATATAACTGCTTTAGGGATGAGCAACGAGCACCTTAAATGACTGGACAATCTTTTAATATATTATAATTTATTTATTAATTTAGGTGTTTTGCTGATAATTTATTTGGGTGGTGTAATGATTTATTCATATATTTGCATAACTGTCGGCCTGGGCTAAAATAGTTAACATGGCGCTGTTGAGAGCTGTTAGTCAGATGGAGGGATTAGAACAGTGTGATTTGAACTTCCTGTGCTACAGTCAGCATGTCAAGCACAAGCAGAGATAAAGACATCAGTCGCGCACCAGAAACGGGGCAGGCCGCCCCAGTGGCATAACAGGATTCTCTTTCTCTCAACACATGTAACTATTTTTTTTATCTGCTCTCCGCAGCGCGTGGCGCTCAGTCCAGACGATGACGGATTCCCCTGAGGGCGATTCTTGTAGTTGCTCTCTCCTTCTCCGTCCCTGAATCCATGCGTCCTTTAGTCCTCCATCTCTCCTTCCATCGAGGAGGTCGCATGAGACAACGCAGCAAGGCACAGAGAGCCAAAAGGACACAAGAGCACTTGCTCTGCACAGCCAAGAGCTACAAACTGGGTTTGTCTTCTTGTAGTGTCTTTTCCAACCCATAAACCCTCAGTCGGGCAATAATCACTAGTTCTAAAATTAAACTACTAGCATCATTCTTGCTCTGTGTCAGTAGTCGTAGGTAGTGCTGTCTAATGATGACTAACTTCATAGCTCATCACGTCAGTAGTCGCTAACACTCAGTGGCTCTCCTGCTGCACTCGTGCTGTAGTTTTTTTTTTTTTATTAGAAATAGTTTCATTACTGGTTAAGCTGGTTTGAGCTGAGCTATGGCCATTTTGTCTGGCAAAACTTGTTGGGAGAGAATTGTGGGCAATCCATCCTGTGAGCATAGGAGATGCATTGAAGGAAAATATGAAATAGGATGGAGATAGGATGTGGAAAATTCATATTTGCAGACATACTAAACACAGATTCCACCATGTGGCTGTTATGCATTCATATATTCTCACAAGCAAATAATATACCACAAAAAATAAGATTTACCTGTAAATATTTTTGTCCTCCTGCTTACATACTTCCAATGCCAAGACTAGTGTTCCTTCACGTCTTCCATAGTCACTCGAGTCAGATTTGACCCTTCTAAGAGATCTGCAGCCACTATCTGGAGATGAAGGGTTTCACCTCCCAGTTTTGAGAGGTAATATATTTTTCCATTTTCATTTATTTCACCAGCACTGGGTCTTCCATTTTTCTCAAGTTTCTAGGACCAACTAAAATCTTCCTGCCCAGGCACATTTATAACCCCAAAACATTAGCTCAGGACATCAGTTTTTCTAAAATATTATCAGTTATCGCTATAATCTGTGTGGTTTGTTATCACAATCACGCTAATAGATACGGTAGCCAGGGTTTGATAATGGCTAAAATGCTGTTTGTTAATTTCTACAGTCTAGATCGCTCCTTCTCAGACACGCAATAACACACACGTCTTTTCCGCCCCTACATTCGTCATGCCTTGGAGAAAACTCTTCAGCATTTAGCATGCTGACAAAGAAGACACCGCCTGCCATATTGGGTGACTTAATGGCGTGATAGATTAGAGTCGTAGATCAAAGCTTTGCTCATATGAACAGTCATCTGTTCAACATGTGGCACAGGAAATGAGGAGTGCCTGAATATAGGCTTCCTATACATATAAACTCTCCAACTTACTCTGTGTGATGAATGAGCGCTTGGTTATTTCTGTATCACTGTCAGAGGGACACTGACTGATTCGACAATGTAAAAAACTTTTTTTTTTTGCTGGTTTTAGTTAGGCTAGTCTGAATTGATGGTTTAAAGGGGTTTGATGGATTTAGATCAAGACTGACTGAAATAAACTAAAAAATATATGTAATTGGAGGCCCCCTGATAGCTTGCCTTTTGCCCTGGTTGAGAACCACTGATTTATAGATCTTAGAGACCATCAAGGCCATCTAAGCTTCATCTAAACCAGCAAAAAACCTTAGGCTGGGTTAAGATTTTCCAGCAGGGATTAAAACTTGGCATGTGACGGTATGTTTCTGTGTACTGGGGTGTGATGTTTGATCAGATGGTTTTGAAGAACTAGCCATGTGAGTTGCCCTTTGTTGGAGGCTACTGAAAGTACCCGAGATTGGTTCTGGCCCGCAAGTGGCTGGTCTCGCATCTTGAGTGGTTCTTTGTTCCTGCCACCTTTGCTCTTCTCTGCTGTGATGAGGCATCTTGTGTAAAACATCCCTCCACATTTCAAAGAATCCTCCATTAAGTCACTGTTTGTTTTCCATTAGGAAGAGAGACAGTGTGGGAGTTTCATTGCTCAGGTTTTTGTCTGTGAGGATTAAAGAAGCTGCAGTTTGTAGTTGGTTTTCTGATCAGATGGGCTTGAGATGTCTTCATTGAAGACATGTTTCGGAGATAACAGATCTATTGTCATCGATATTATAGTTTGTTTAATGAATCTTCATCCATCCTTAACTATTTATCACGTCAAACTATGTATACAGTATGGAAAGTATAATGGATAGGTTGATTTTGGAAGCGGTAACAGTTTAGATGCTTTGAGTATTTTTTAAAAATATCGGCTCTGAAAATTTGAAACTTTTTGATTTGAGAATCTCAGACTAGCAATACAGGGTAATCAAACTGCTTAATGTGCTTTTTTTTTTTTTTAACTGTCATGTCATAAATTATCGTTTAATCATTATAAATTTGGTTTCTTCAGAAGCGCCTTACTTGGACTTGTTTGCTGGTCTTATTAGATCTGGTTTGCTGGTATTTTGGGCACATATCAGCTGGTTTAGGCTGGAAGACAAGCTTGTTCAGCTGAAACCAACTGGACACCAGGCTAGGAGACCAACTAAAATGAGAAGAAACAGCCTAAACTGGTTTTAGATGGAATTTGGGCACTTATCAGCTGGTTTAGACTGGAAGACAAGCTTGTTGACTTGTTGACTTGCTAAACCAACTGGACACCAAACTAGGTGACAAACTAAGACCAAAAACTGGTTTTAAATGGATTTTAGGCACTTGCTGACCAGCTAAACCAACTGAAACTCAGCATGGCCAGACTGGAAGACCAGCAAATAAGCTTAGGCTGGTTTAATCAGGTTTTTTTTTTTTCACAAGAAGCATCATGCATGTTTCTTTTTCCTGACCCCAAACTCATCATTATTTTGAGGTGCTGCTCTAGAGTTAGCGCAAAAAAAATGTTTTTATGGGAAACTTAGTTACATTGAGCTCTCTAGCTGTCAAGGTTTCTACAAACAGATCACTTAGCTTATTATAATTTATAAACACATGTACGATCTGGTCACAGAAGGTTCTAGACCTTGGATTTTCGGCCTCTCTGTACAGTAGATAACAAGCAGTACTTTGTGACCGTTGTCCATCTTTCTTACTCTATGCATATGTAACGGCAAGTCCTGCCTTCCTTAAGCACTGCAGGGACTCGCCACGCTGCTCCTTCACCCCACTCCACTGTGACTAACATTCGTAATATCCGTAACTCCTCCTCATCACTGTCTACCTGTCATCCCCATCGGCCCAACATTGCTTTTGAAAGGGCTACCATTCTTTTAAAATGGACGATACACTGGACAATACGCTGGAACCTCTCCTGGAACAGTGCTCTTTAGTTTGGTGGACTTGTAGAGCTGAACCGCTGATGAGTCGGGCCCTCCACACCCATGGGTAACATTCCCGTCTGTTCTCTTTGTGACCTGTGTGAAAAAAAAAAGACCTGTTTTGGTTTGCCCCTATGAGATCATGTTGACATGATGTATATTACTTGAACTGTTCATTTTTTGTATGGTTTGTAGGGGGAGGAAGGAGGGCCTGTTATTCCTGTCATTTGAGGAAACATGCGTCCCGGTCATTCCATTGCTGTATGGAGACATTTGTACACTGTTTGTTGCACAAACTTTTTCAAGAAGCCTTCTGCACTGTGTAAATGATTACATAGGATGGGGGGAAGGGTAGCCGTTGCTGTCAAATGAGTCTGAATCATGATTTGTAAATATGTTTTCATACAGCAAAACTTTTGATAAGGTTTTAAACATTTCTTGTAAAAAGAAGATGTGTATATTAGTCTCCTGGACAAAAAAAGAGTGTAGACCATACATGGATTTATTTGTACTCGAGAGCACTGGATTTCTTTACTACTTGATTGTAACTAAAAATTAATAATCTGCCAAAGTGTTTGTTTTTTTTTTTCTTCCTCCTGGTCTTAATTTGATTTTGGCTTTTTAACCGTAAACATTGCAGAAATAGTGTTTAATTTGTATTTGTACATTTATTTAATAGATAAATTAAATTGTAATTCTATTTAATAGGTTACACTCAGTGTTGAAAGAGAGGGTTACAGTTTAATTTATTGGTGCCTTGTATGTGTTCATGTATATTTTCCAATAATGTTATGTTTTGTTTGCTTTTCTGGTGTCTGTGTCAGTGGGTCAGAGGTGGTGGGAATAGGGAGGGGGTTTTAACATTAGCAAAACTGTACTTACATGGAATATCTGTACTGTATGCCAAAATGGTCTCACTCACGTTTCTATGAAATTCAAGTTGTTGATAAATATCTATATATTGATATATTAAATTGTTAAAAATCTTTTGTCGCTCTTTGTCTCCTTGTTGTTCTTAAACATTACATTCGGTTAAATCAGAACAGTTGTGTCAGTTGTTTGTGGTATTGATGAAATGATTTAAAGTTCTTCGTTATCTTTTGTACCCCTGCATAAATTTGCTGCATACCAGCTCACACTTCTTGTCAGTATGCCGACATTGCGGTTATGTCTGGCTCCCCAGAGGAGACGGTGGCTCTGTGCCTGGTAATGGAAAGAGGAACTCCCCCACCAGGTGTCACACTGTGATTTTGCTAATGTCTGCGGTGAGTATTAGCCTCCAGGGAGACCTAAATAAAATGGGGAAACTGCTTGAACTCCCAGCGGGCAGATTTGATGAATGTGATTTTTACAAAGTTGCCATGGTGCTCACCCGAAAATCTAAATTCTGTAACCATTTACTCACCCTAATGTGGTTCCAAACCTGTATGACTTTATTTTCTCTGCAGAACACAAAAGAAGATATTTTGAAGGATGCCATTCAAAAGAAATACATGTTTGGAATGACACGAGGGTAAGAAATGTATTTATTTTTTGTTGCTCAACTCTCCGTTCAAGAGCAGAACACCTCGCTATAGAGTGCAATAATACAGGTTCTGGAAATAAATATTGAATCTGTAAATTATAGACCTTTTAAAGATGTTGTTAATTGATTCTTTTGATGAAGCACATTGTTTGAAATATTTTTTAAACAATCACTTTTAACAGCAGAATTGCTAGCGAAAAGCTACATTACCAATGATTATGGAAAGAAATTTCCACCAATCAGAGAATCGTGGTGAGCAAATCACACCAAACCACTTTTGAGACTCTCACTCCCATTAAGCACTGCAAATGACTTGTGTGTGTGTTTTTCTATTCTGGTGGGGACTTAAACCTATATACACACAGACTCATGGGGACTCATGTCACGGTGGGGACCTAAATTGAGGTTTTCTGAAAATCTAAAAATGCACAAAGTTTCCTGTGAGGGGTAGATTTAGGTGTAGGGATGGTGTAAGGCAATAGAATATACGGGCTGTACAGTAGAAAAACCATTACGCCTATGGAGAGTCCCCACAAGGATAGCAAACCAGACGTGTGTGTGTGTGTTTATATATGATTGTCATTTGCAATGCTTCATGGGATTGTAGTTTTTTCCCTCAATAAAGCTGCTAAAAACAGTCTTGTACCTTTGTCTTCTTGTCCAATTTTCAAATACTTTTTGATTCAAATCAAAGTTTATGATGTTGTGATTCACCTCAGCATGGTTTAAAAAAGAATGGGAAATATACTTCCGGAACCAAGGCTGCTGAAAAAGTGGACGGGCACTAATGCACTCTATTGTAGCTCTTTGTGCAAGACGGATGGTATTGAGGAATGCTGTTTTTTAAAGCAGTTTAAACTGTTTTTAATGGTAGCTCACAATGGTTTGCGCAATGAGCTCTCCTCTCCTCTCCTCCCCGAGCGGATTTGGCCTGTGGAAGGGAACCAACAGTTGTGTGGGCACCCTGGTTCGTCTCTACTTAGACAACCCTATTTATCATTCTCTTTGTTGGTTCGGTTACTTTGCCTATTGTGGCAGTCTCTGAAAACAGTCCTCAAAGAGAACTTAATCTTGTTATCCTCATCTATGATAGATGAATTTTTTCCCAATCCCTAATCACTGCTGTCCCTCAAGAAAAGAAAAGTACAGTTATTTCCTCTTCTTCTTTTTCCAGCTTTATTTTAGTAGGGCGAATGACATTTAGGGCTCTCTCCTACTGTGCGAACATCCAATTATTATGCAGCCAGTCTGACTGTGGCAAAGGGAGCTGGGTGTGTCTGTGTCATCTGTCTAGGTGAAAGGGGGACAGAGCATTCGCTAAAAGCTATTAAGACTTAATTACTGCTAAAAAAAAAAAAATATTTGTTGTACCAGGGAGTGTGTTGTTCACAAATAAACAATCTGCAAAAAGGGCATGGAAAGCATGAAAGTAATACTGATTAGGATGGAGAAATGGAAAGTAGCATTTGGGATTAAAACCCAATATGCTGCTGTTCCTGTTTCCCTCCTTCCTGCTTTTTTGTTAAAGGGATAGTGCACCCCAAAATGTACTTACCCCCAATGTCATTCCAAACCTGTAAGAAATGCTACTATGCAGTTACTAGGATCTTGGAGCTTTTATGGAGATGGTTCAAATCTGACTGAATTTGATCCAAAACACAAAATTTGAATCTTCCAAATGTATGGGTAGAGTGGTCTTCTTTTGAGTTCACACTTTCGTGATGTAATGCCACTATGACTGTCGGGTAGAAGTTGCCTCAGTGCAGGCTCGGCAGAAGTGTGCATGGAGGGCATATAGCGGCCACAAAGGAGCACCCTTCTGAAAGCTAAAATGAATGGGACACCCTACGGTCTTGTAGACTTGCGCACGTGGCGGCCATTGTGAGACCACAAGTGCACATGAAGTGTGCCATTTGGGACAAAGCCTTAGACTACAAAATTGCATAAGCGAATTGGGACACACCTTAAGTTTATTTATGAACATCATCCATCCAAGTTTTGCTTGGTGCATTCATGACAGAAATAGCGGTCAAATTTGTGAATAAATTGTTCTTTTGAATTCTTGCCTTTCTAATTTTTTCATTGTATATTTGGAAATTCACTATATATTGCAAAACCAGTCTGAATTTGTCCATATGACTCAATGATTTTATTTTATTTATTTTTTTATTAAAATCCTCTTGTCTCCTATGGTTGTATGGATGAGTGACCAGTACACAGAAGAGTCAGTTATAGAATTTGCATCTACCCCTTTTATATGTGATTTTGCATTTTAAATCACATCTCTTATTTATGTAAATGTAATAAATATATAAAAGGCAGTACATTTTTTCCGTACTGCTCCAATATGTAGGGCATTAGTTTCCCATCTCATCGTCTCGTATTGTCTCGAAATGCTCCATTGTCACTTCTTCCATGTTTATGTTCATTTGCGTTTCACATCTGTGTTGTGTGTTGTCTCGCCTGTTTATTATAGAATTTGCATCTACCCCTTTTATATGTGATTTTGCATTTTAAATCACATCTCTTATGTAAATGTAATAAATATATAAAAGGCAGTAAATTTTTTCTGTACTGCTCCAATATGTAGGGCATTAGTTTCCCATCTCATCGTCTCGTATTGTCTCGAAATGCTCCATTGTCACTTCTTCCATGTTTATGTTCATTTGCGTTTCACATCTGTGTTGTGTGTTGTCTCGCCTGTTTTATTCTGTTCCACTGAATGGAGCCAGCAGCTGAGGGATCTCCAACAACAAGCGTTCCCCAGAGAGCGGCGACCAGATACGTCTCTAGAACAAAGCTGCAATGCTTTTGTGAAGCCAAACGGTAAACTCTGCGTTTAGTATTCCAGGATCATTTCAGCAGCTGTCGGGTCACACAGTCGTTTCATGCGCACTTATGTTCTGCCTCTGTTCCGCTCTAGATATACAGACTGGTCCTAAGCTGCACAACTTGATGTGTGGCATTGGTTTTCTCCTGTGGCTCACTCAGAAAATAAATAAAAAATAAAAAGCAGATAAATTCGCTAGCTAATTCTAGACTCTAGAGAAACAAGTATACAATCTGCTCTTTAAAAAAAAGAGACCCGTTTAGTTAGTCTGGTGCAATTAATTATTCACTGAAGTTCACAAGTGTCAATTGTCGGTATTCAGCCTTCGAATAGTTTGGGAACCTCATTCGGCGAGTAAATTACCTTTTTTTTTTTTTTCATATCACTGTCTTTCGATGGTAATGCTAAGATTGCATTGTATGTGGTCCTCATTTATTACCATTTAGCCCTTTGGGCATTTAAGCCTATGTTACCCTGTTCTGTGAAAATGTGCTTGGGACAAAACAAGCAATGAATGTGTTTATATTTTTGTTTCCAACTAAATTAAGAGCAACACTGACACCTGCTGTTCAGGCATATGAATAGTCAACAAACAACCAAAAGCTCATAACCAATTCAACATTTAAAAGGTCAATTTGCTTGGTGTGAACCTAGTCAGACCTTATGAAAGACAGGATGACAGATAAAAACAAAACACTAGAAAAGATAAGATTCTCTAAAATAAGAACAGCTTAATAGCTTTATTCAGCATACAATCCACTCCACTAAAATGTGGTAGTGAGGTGACAAAAGCTGACTGACTTCAGTAATCACAAAAGACAATATGGATTTGGGTCAATAGTCTGAGTTTAATGAGTAGTTCACTAATTGAAACTGACAACTATTTGACACACCCTATGTTTCTGTACTGATTTTCCTGAGCTATGCAGACATGAATGACAGCCAATTTAAGGAAACTGTATATTCCACTTTCCCCTACTATTCCTGACAGGAATAAGAGGTCCTAAACCGTAAAAAAATCAGTAAGAAAATGAATAAATAGCACCATTCATTTCTGCTTTGCCTTTTAAATACAACACTACTCGCTCCGGCTTATACAAATATACTCTGTATACTGGCCTCATGTGTCACCAATATCTGATTAAAAAAAATAAATAGCTATCAAATACAAAAATAAGACCGTTTTTTCATATAAACAGGAAATATCTTCTTAAAATGCTGTTAAAAGACAAATATCAACCATTCACTTTGGTCAAATAGGAAATTCCGAAATGAAAAGGATGGAATGTTGCAGTGTTAGAAATCACATTTTTACAAACACCTGAATTATTCAAAATGTTCCAAACACAAGTGTATTTTTTTATAATAGATTTCAAATATTTACAGTATTATACTTCATATAAAATCAACAGGGCTTTTCCACAGTGTGCATTTACAGCTAGAGCAATGTTATGCACACCAAATGACAGAAGCTTCACAATAAAATACAGTCAGCTGTTTCTTTCAAATAACAAAGAAAATACAGTAACACTGCTCATCTTAACCTATATTAATAAATAGTGCTACAGGGTTGACTGTCTGATATGACAGTCTATCATGAGTGTTTGAGATATGAACTGAGCTCAGTGACCGTAATGTGAGAGAACAGAAATGTGCTTCATTTGCATCCCTGAAATTCACACACACCGCTACCTTCATGCTAAAAACAGAGCCTGTATAAACCCCTCATCTGAGGTCAGGAGTTCTGTGTCTTTTTTCTAAGTTTCTGCTGGTGAGTCAGACGGTTTCGGTTTTGTTGTGGGGGACAGACCCTTCACTGCTGGGGTCTGCATCAGTCCTAAGCCTTTTGAGAGGTCGCTCACAGTGTTCATCTTCCTCCTGTTTGACTGTGATCTCCATGACTTGTGTGCTCGGGCTGCTGGCGTCAGGGTTAGAGCAGGGTGGTGACTTTGCTGTGGAAATATCTGGACACGTGGCAGAGCCGTTTATCTGAGATTTCTCATCTGTGACACAGAGAAGGGGCTCGGAGGAATGGCTCCCAACACCTGTGAAATCAACAAGATTACATTTAATATTTACTGTTGTTAAAGACACAATACTTTTATCATTTAATATTAAATCAAATATTTTGTTTTGGATTAACTCCACAAAGTGTCACTTAATGAAGAAAAAAAAATAACTTTAATATTATGTGAACACTGTCTATATATATGCATGTACAGTTAGTAAAAAAAAAAAAAGGTGTTTTTGAGAGTCTGAATGGCCTGACCGTTCTGTGCATTTGAGTCACTCTCTGGCTCTGATGGGTGTTTGCTGTTGTTGGAAGAGGTGGGAGGTGAAGATGAAGATCCACTGGACTCAGAGCTCTTCCTCTCGTCCAAAATACACTCCATATAATCCCTGTAATGCCAAACAAACACCAGGCAGGATATGACCTAACACAGCATCTGATTCTACAGGTGCATCTCAATAAATTAGAATGTCGTGGAAAAGTTCATTTCAGTAATTCAACTCAAATTGTGAAACTCGTGTATTAAATAAATTCAATGCACACAGACTGAAGTAGTTTAAGTCTTCGGTTCTTTTAATTGTGATGATTTTGGCTCACATTTAACAAAAACCGTTTAATTAGAGGACTTGGACTTGTGACCTTTAATGTGCCAAAGTGTTGATGACTGACTTACAAAACTCCAGGACGAAGACTGTATTTTCTTTTTCCAAGCTTGGTTTGCTGTGCAAAGAAATCATAACGCTCAGATTTCTTCCACATGTAATAAAAGGCCACACATTCCCCTACAGATCTAGTTAGCACCTGGAAAAGTTTAATTAAGTAACAATTACCTACGTGAACAATAAAAAAAAAACAGCAAAGTTCACCAACTGATTACTCTAAATTATTCAATAATCGAACAGTAAAAATTGCATAACAGCAGTCATATTCCATCCTATTAGGTTTTGGAATGGGGAATGTGACTAAAAACTAACCTTATTTGCTTGTATTGAGCTAAAATCTTTTCTGTAAGTGTTGATTCCTTGCTCAAAACCTCGACACTCCTCTTCCGTCCAACCTGACATTTCCTCTGAGGGAGAGAGAGATTTTAGTTAATGTGACGCATTCAGAAAATGTTGACTGACATGCTGAGAGCTCCTTTATCACAGGCTTGGATGCTTCTTGTGCTTGGAGCATTTTATGCTTCCCAAAATAACATTCTGAAGCGGTTAATAGATTCAAATATTTTTCATCTGATTAATTGTATGTTGGTTAATTAGTCAAATTAATCATACCAATATTTGATGCACGTAAAGATAATTCAGGAACATTAATGTGGCACAAGAGTATTGCATTGAATATACAATACGTTATAAAAATTGACTGTAGAAGTCAATATATTGTTTGTTCTATTTCCATTTCAACATTTAATTTTGCAATCCAAGATACATTTCACTTACATAAAAGTCAGGGGATTCGCACAGAAGGATTTCTGCAGGTTTTCTACAGGTAAATGTAGATCAAGTAAAGAAAATTTGGTAACACTTTATTTTAAGGACCAGTCCTCACTATAAACTAGTTTCTTATTAGCATGCATATTACCAGCATATTGGCTGTTTATTAGTACATATAAAGCACATATTAATGCCTTAATCTGCATGACCATATTGTAGATCCCTTAATCCTACCCCATACCTAAATTTAACAACTACCTTACTAACTGTTAGTAAGCAGCAAATTAGGACCTTATTAAGGCAAAAGTCATAGTTTATAGTGAGAATTGGTCCCCAAACTAAAAGTGTGACCGAAAATGTAAGGAATAAATTGAAGGGAACACAATACATCAATATGTTCTAGAGAACACACAATGAGTTGTATCAGCAACACTTTGATGTTTGAAAATACAACTTTCAACCAATCTCCAGCACTTTTTAATTCATTTTACAAAAAAGCTTAAGGCTTGAACACCTCTTCTCCCAACCATTAGAATTACTTTTACTGTACCTTCTGATTACAATGCAAAAACACAATGTTCTTCTTCAGTATTTTTGTCTTGTTTTCCAAAGCAAATGTGTAAAGATTCTTAGGTACATTTAGACTTTAAATGTGCATCTCAAGTAAATATATCTTGATTTAAGGATGTCTAGATATTTGTATGGGAAAACAAAAATACTGAGGTAGATATTCATTTTCTGCAATGCATGCGATGGCATTGGCATTTAATGCCAAGACTTTATGATTTAAGACTTTATGGTATTAAATAAGACATTTTTAAGGCCGCAATTTGTGGATGGCTGAATTAAGAAACCCTGTAACATTAACTAACATCATCTTTTACACATACACACACACTCACCTTTGGCAGGCTTCACATTAAATTTCAGTCTTCTTAAAGCTTCTTCTGCATTTAAGTTGCATTTAAACAATTCATAAAGAGCCTGAAATTTAAGCAAAGAAATTGCTATTACAACATGTCAAAAGGGAATCGTCGATATGATTTAAGTAAATATGCCATTTGATGGTGACCTGCCTGTTCATTGTCTTTGATGTGAGATCCTTCAGGAATTGCATGGACACCAGTCTCTTCTCCGCTGCATTTAGAAGCCTCGGCTAAAAACTCTACAACCTTTTCTTCTGGAATTAACTCCGGATTCCACAAAAGCTGATCATCATTCTCGTACACTACATTTATAAGAGACAAGCAGATGAAGAACAAAAATGTGTATGTTTAACATATGTATTAAATATATACATATCACATCTAAATAAGCATATTATTCAGTTCTGTCACCTTTTTCATTGTCCTTATATTTGCAAAGGCCAACAGGAGTCTCTGCTTGATACATTGAACCAACCATTATCTCCTATGAATGACAGAAGAAAAAAATCCATGTTTGAAATCTTAAAAAAAAAAAAAAAACTTTGAGAGAAAATAATATTAAATCTACCTTCTTCCAATCTTCAGATGGAATATAATTATCATCTTCAGATTCTTCCTCATCCCCTATAAAACAAAGTCACATGGAGCCCTATCTAGTTAGACTGTGAATTTATATCACCATCTGCTGGTCCTACCAGGCATCTACTACTAAACGGTACAATAAATGAAAAACATCTGTGGAAGTGTACATTTGTTTCATTTGAAATAATATATAATAAATAATATAGTGTGTGATGCTGATTTGGTAGATATAAAGAAACGTTTCTTATTATTATGAATGTTGAAAACAGTTGTGCTGCATAATAGTTTTGCGGAAAATGTGATACATTTTTTCAGAATTTGTTGATAAATAGAAAGTTAAAAAGAGACTTCAAAGTGTCTTTACTGTCACTTTTGAAAACTGTCACTTTTACTGAAAAATAAACCTTTGTGTGAGTATACACATAGACACACAGTGTTACAATTTTACATGGCAAAACCTAATGGTACTTATGTACTAACTCTAAAAAAAATAAAAATAAATGTAAATAACATGCCAGTCCATACTTCTGCACTACAACATTTTTTTTTTTTTTTTTTTGGTAAAATGAACTTTGATGTGTATGGAAGCCTGTTTCTGCCATGGTCTGCATGGGATAAAACAATTTTTTAAAGGTAATTGATGAAAAGGTTATTTTTTTTCTCAGTTCAGTTTTTGAGTTTATATTTCACAATTCATACTTTTTGACAATTCAATTGACATACAATTCTCAGAATTGAAAGATACAAACTTTTTTTTTGTTTATATCTCACAATCCTGACTTTTTCCTCAAAATTCTAAGTTTACATTTCACAATTCTAACGTTTTTTTCCTCTGAATTTTGAGTTAACATCTAAAAATTGTTTTCTTTTTTTGTTTTCACCACAAAATACAACATTAAAGAGAGGAAGCATGGAAGAAACAAGCTTTCATTTATGTGTAACATGCAGTGTAGTGTTTTTATGATCATACCTTCAAAGTAAATGGATGGCCGAGGGTAGAGGAGTTGAGCTGTGCTGTGAGAAACACTGCAGGACGGAGGCTCCTCACCAGACGACTGCACGTCCCCATCCTCTTGATCAGAAAGCTCCTGCCTCTCGTCCTCCTGACAGCCACAACAATGATTGGTTGATTTTACTATGCTTATGCATACAAAAACATACAGATTTGTTGTTTTTCATGTAGATCTTTACTTTGAGTTTACTATGGCTGCAGCAATTATTCTCTGAAGAATCCTCCTCTTGAACGTCTCCATCCTCCTCCTCTGGAGACCCACCAGTGCTGTAGCCATACAATTTCAGAAGCTCCTCAATGGGCATCTCACCCTCCTACCAAACCAGAGTAGTAAAGTCATGAATCAAGACCTGTGGTTATTTAATGATCCTCATCATATCATCATAAACGTATGTATTAAAATGTTATAAAAAAAAATAAAAATAAAGATGGTCCATACTCGAGTGAGGTCATTAATTTCGGCACTGAAGTTGGTCTGTCCCTCCAGCTTTTCCTCTTCTTCCAATGTCCGCTCATCATCAAAGTCATGTACGAGCATGTCTGCTGAAGGATCAAAGTCTCTGTCCTCATGCTGGACCACTCCATGTGCTCCTATTTAACAGACATTTTTTGTTTTATTAATATAATTATCTATTCTATACACAGAGAGAGAGAGAGAGATACACACTAATAATATCTACACACACTATATTAAATGTACACAAATGATATATAATACTACACATTAATATAAATGTGGGCTTTGATGCAGCCTAACGTTACAATAATTTTGTTATTGCTAGTAAAATAAAAGTAACTGAAATCTTTACCTTCAGAGCCTGGACCCCTTAAGGAGGGCTGGAAAGAAAATAAGACATTTTAATCCCAAGAATTTAATAATATGAACAAAAACCATAAGAGATAGGATATCACCATAAGATGATATACAGGTGCATCTCAATAAATTAGAATGTCGTGGAAAAGTTCATTTATTTCAGTAATTCAACTCAAATTGTGAAACTCGTGTATTAAATGAATTTGACTAGGAATGATCATCTACAGTCAGAGGCAAAGCTGTTAAAGAACGTAACGTATAACCTCCTGTTAATGAATGAGACTAGAAATAACAGGGTGCACTGGGTTATAATTTATTAGGCACTGTTGTTGTTTCTTAATAAAAGCACCGAGGAATATACTGGATGTGAGTTTGGCGCTCAGGCAACAAGTTAGCTGCTAGCTGCTAACACATTCAACTTGGGCGCCCTAACCTGTTTGCTAATTATTCAGGGCTGAACGTTAAGAAACACGTCATCGTTGAAATATTTAAAATTAGAAAGGAAGTTAAATTTAATTAAAGGGTTGCACTGACCGCTCAAGTGCGTTATTTGCTGCTATTTGTAATGTTTCTCTTACCTCCGCCATAGTTGTTGTAGGTTCTGTGAAGCCAGCGATAATAAATGTGTTGAAAATGAGTAGAGCAGCACTACTGTGGTGAATACTACAAAATAAAAGTCTTGTCACGACCCAAACACTGCGCAAAGGTGACAAGCACAGCTGGCCAATTACTGTCAGTATAATATTTGGAAAACGTAACTGTTAAAAGAGTATTTCAAAATTCGCCTTCTCTCTCATTACAATATACAACGCATTTTATGATTGTTATTCAAACACATTAGCAAAATAGAGTAATTGCAAATGCAATTGTAATAGCTTTTTTGCTTTCGAGAATCTATTACATTAGAGCTTAAGACTCACTATAGTTCCAGCAGTCAAAAAATGTTCCATCATAAGTATTTACCCATAAAGAAATGAATAGTATGTATAAAAAAAATAAAATAATGGTTTAAAATCATGTACACTCACTTAAGAAACACTGGCTTATGTTTTATTTTACATGGAGCAGTCATATGGGTGCCTGCTTCTAGACATCCCATAAACAGTCAAATAGAACGATCTGTTTTGTAGACCTAAAACCTGGATCAGATGGCTTTATGTAACAAACAACACAAACAACCCTGGAGAAAGTAGTACACAATTTATTGCCACAGAAGCGATAGGCAACATGAAAAATGAAAAAGGATTTTACTTTGGTTAACATCAGAAAATGACATAAAATACATATTCTTTGAGCTGAGGTATTTTAAATGTTATACACATCCCGTTTCTCACTGATACGATCACTGAGAATTTGCAGATATGAAATTGATAAAGAAATGTTTCTTTAACTAAAATGAATAAAAACATGAATAAAATAAAAACAAGTCGAACACATAAAATACTTCTGCAGCAACAATATGTCATCAGTGCTTAAAAATAAAGAACAAAAATGCACATCATCTATAAAATTAGAATCTCTAAGCAATGGACAAAGTGTTCCAAAAAGTGGCATACATGAATGAAAACAGACATTCATTCAGTAACCGCAGAATGCATCAGCTTTTCCAGATGTACAACAAGTATAGCACAAGAAATAACTGAAATGTGTGATATTTTCAGACTAGCATTTTGGATTTGTCAAAAATACATCAGACATAAATGTAGGAGACATTCTCATTTTCTTATTTGCCCAAAGGCAGCGACGTTAAACAAGACAGCTCAACATACTGAAATGTTTGTGCATATTGTATTACGTTCTTGCAAAAACTAATATCCATTTTAAATCACTAACAAATGAGAACACATGCAAACTGTTCAAGTGCAATTACACCATTTGCGTTTATAATGATTCCATCAGTAAAAAAACAGTTACTGCATCCCATTCCCAAATACAAAAGCAGTTATAAGAATTTGTCCAGTTGAGCACTGTGTAACACTGAGAACGCTTAACACAAAATATTGTTCTTTAAAACTTATCAAAAGACTCAAATCAAACATCTAAGTTGCACACATGTACCTTGTTTTACACACTTTCCATTTATCATTCAGGTTTTGAAGGAACATTCCTGTGTTACAGGGTACCAGAACTGTCACAAAACTATTTAAACAAATGTATGTAAACTCCCTTTTTATAGCTAGAATAAACCTTTCCCAACAATAAAATCCCATTCACAATCCTAGCAATAAAAAAAAAAAAACTCACATGAAAATAAATATCCTTACTGACTAAAATCCATCTTTAAAAGTACTCTTCAATAGACAATACAACAGGTATTGCAACACTAATGACAGTCCCTCATTCCCAATTTGTGGCAAGTGTCCAACATTGCAGGACACAAACCATCAGTTTGTAACACAGACACCACTTCTTAACAGAAGTGAAAATCAACAGGCAAATCTTTACTCTGGAATAACACATTCCAGTATATTTGAAACTTGATCAAATCTTTCATTTGAGACGATGTCCTGCCAGCACCTGCTGTACCTTTTTCAGTCAATATCTTCATATAATAATAAAAAAAACATACTAGGAGTGACTTCTTACTCTTGCATGAAATACAAAAACTCATAGATACAGCCTTGTGCATCATAAAAGTCAAACAAACTGGTCATACAGACACTTTCCCTTTGACCTCTAGTTTGTTGGTATTCTCGCTCTGTTTGGTGGTCTGCTCCTCTGTGAAGGTAATGTAGGAATACACCAGACTGCCAGCAATACTGAGAAGACAAGTACAGGCAATCAGATCATCAGCGTCACACTAAATCCATGCATCCCATCTGTTCCCTTCTGGGAAAAGCTCACTACTTACCTGATGTTCAGACCAATGAAGTTAGTCCATGAGAAAATGTAATCTCCTCCAAACACCATTCCAATATACGTCACTAATATATTCTGCAGAGACACAAAAATTGTTCATATAATAAACAGCAGGACAAACTGTATCTTGGCATGTTTAAGAAAGAAACATTCTTACTTTTAGGCAGCCGACGATGGTAGTAGTTAGCGCAGAGTTATACTGAGTGCAAAGTACAGTGGAGTACATTAAAATGAACCTGCAATTGTACCAACAGAAGATGTATTGTTTAGGAAATCTCTAATGCCTGAAGTCATAAATCTACACTGTAAAAAAAAAAAAAAAAAAAAACTGTGCAAGGATTCGACGAAGGAGCGTCCGGCGGGCTTGCGGCAACCACATGTTACGACCCCGGGCTGGACTTCGCTTCGTCCACGGTGAAAGCCGATCCGGCGATCCACTCCACGAAGTTGATGTATTTCCTCAGCGGCCAGCACGGATCAGCTTTAGGCATGACGAAGCGGATATCGTCCTCTTTTGGAAGGCCAAACAAAGTAGTTTCGCTTTCACAACGAAACAC